TAGTAGTAGTATAGTAGTAGTAGTATAGTAGTATAGTAGTAGTAGTATAGTAGTAGTAGTATAGTAATATAGTAGTAGTAGTATAGTAGTAGTAGTAGTAGTCGTCGGCAAGGATATCAAGAAGGACTGGGGTGTGGCTCAGTGGTGAGCACTCTATGTATGTGTGCATCCTGCCTGGGTTTGTACCCAGTGCCAAAAATTAAAAGGGCAAGCTACTACACAGACGAGCAGAAGATCGGATGAGTTATCAGTGGATGGATGTCCCCCCACAGGCTCTGCAGACAAGTGGCCTCAACGAGGACATCCTGACAAGGGCTGTGCCCTGACATTCCCACACCCCACTTACTATGCTGGTCCCTCTTCTCCCGCCTGGGGGCCTTGAGTTCTGGCTCGTCAGGGGGTACTACATCCAGCAGGCATACGGTGAACTGCTGCAGCAGCTTCAAGTCGGAGCCTGTGCAGTTGGCTGCCTCGGCTGCCCACACACATCCCACCTGCACAGGCTGCAGCACGCGGAAGCGCTTGCCCTTGGCTAGGAGTTCATCCCACTCCTTGGCCTTCAGCTTCTGGCGCACTTTCTGGTTCTCGGGGTCCGCACACTCCTGAGAGGACAGGAAGCAGACCCGTATTTAATGCCCATGCTCTCTGGCACCTCAGCACTGGCACTGAGCTCCTGAGAGCCACCCCCAGACCCTAGGAGGATGTGGCAGCAAAGGACAAGTCTGAGCAGTCAGTTCAAGCCTGAGTGGTGTGATGAGTCAGGATATTTCAGTGGCTTTGCCTGTTCAGCCTCACAGCTTCTATGACCGGGTTAACAAGTGACTGAATCCCCAACTACAGATCAAACAGCCTGCTCAATGTGACTGCCAGCGGGGTCTGGGCTGCCCAATAGCATCATGGTTGGAAACAAGGAGCAGCCAGTCTGACCCCAGCCATTGTTCAGGCTCCCTAAAATTGCAACCAGGAGCTCGGGAACCAAGGATACACTCAAACTCTCCATGGCCCTTATAGGAGAGCTTTCAAGTGCACAGGGACCTTCTAGGATGTGTGTGTGTCTTGTGCTTTCTTTGGGGGTTTAAGCCTCACGCCTGCTCACCCGGAGCTTAAGCCAAAGCAGCTTATCACCTTAATACCTCACAACCAGCCCAGTCAGGATCTCTCACCTCAGTCACGCCTTCATCCTCAGACAGGTACCCATGGGGCACAAAGAAGCCATCGTCCTCATCCTCGTCTTCCCCCACATCATCATCCTCATCCTCGAAGAGAAAGAAGACAAGAGCTCACATGCACACAGATGTCAGAGTTGAAGGCCAGTCTGGTCTCACATAAATACACAGCCTAATGCAGGCACTGAGGGGCTTGCAGAGTGTGCTTAGAGCCCTGTACTGGCCTTGCACGTTCCCCAGCTTCTCTCTAGTGCCATGGTACATCTGGGTACAGGTGCATTATGTCAATAGTACCCCATTAGGTACAGGGGACTGGGAGCCAGGCAAAAACAGTGTGTGTAGCGAGAGAAAGAAGAGACTAGTAGGGGCTAGTATGGCTCTTACCAGTCTGCCCATGGGCCTGGGGGAACTGGGGTGGCAAGCACTCACTAGTCTAAGCAGGACCAGAACTTAAGATCAACAGGCCCACCCCACATAAACCAAGTGCACAAGTGGCTCCTGCAGTTGGTGTAGCTGATGCCATTCATCCCCACTGGGATTACTTACCCCCTCACTGTGGGACAAAGACTCCCCAGGCTCCTCTTCTTCCCACTCGTCATCACTGTCTACCTCATAGTCAAGAAGGTTCTGGAGAGAGAACACAACATGAGAATCATGGGGAAGGTAGCACAGAGCAGCCCGCCCCCATGAGGAACCCCTACCCCAGGGCTCACCTTGTCCTGGGCCCAGGGGTCACGGGGGCGGATGATTGCCGTCTTCTTGTTCCATGTCCCCCAGTATGCTGGCCGGTGGTTCTCTGAGAACTGCAGGAGCTTCATGCGGCCAAACCTCTTCCTCTCAGGCATACCATCTACCTTGCTGCTCTCCACGATGACCACATCCCTGGGCAGTCAGACCATGCTTACTACTATACTCATGGCTGGCCACCATGTGACCTGCCTGTTGAGGAACTGCTCAGGACTGTCCTTCCCATTGTACCCAGGGTGCAGGAGGTGTGCCCCAGAGTCCCATAACACGCTCTAGTAACCAAGAAAGACACTTAAGGAGATGCTGATTCTAGGACACAACAGCATAGGGCAGCATGTCTCCTATGGCATGGTGTGCCAGCTCTCACCTGTCCATGATGTCTGTGTCACGGTTGCAGCCCTGGGTGGGTCCCGACCTCAGGGGTAGCCGCCCCTTTAGGTCACGGAGGAAGGAGCTGGTCCCACTCTGCTGTCGCAGGAGCTCGTCCAGCTGATCACACAGGTCCTGATCCCAGGCAGCCCGGCACCGCGGAGCCAGCACCATGTGTTCTTTGATTTCAAAGGGGGCAAACTTACCACAGGAACCGGCCAGGGTCTGCAATGAGAACAAGCCGATGCACTGCTGGCAACTGAGTGCAATGCGGCAAATTCAGGTGCACAGACCAGAGGCTGTGCTAGCCCTGGTGCACTGCTGCAGGCACTGTCACACGGTGGCCGTGGGCCTAGGGTGGCAAAAGGAAGCTGCTTTGGTACTGCAAGATTCCAGGGTCTTTGCAGTGATAGGACTGGATTTCAGACAAAACCACCTGAGAGCTACCTTCACTCCAGAGGCCCTTAACCCCACCTTGTGGAGATAACAGCCTTGCTGTATAGCCTGGGTTGGCCTCAAACTCACAATCTCCCATCTCACCCTGCTGAGATGATGGGCATGGGCTGGCATACCTGACCTCCAGATTCTGGCTTGCTTTTTTTACAGTTTATTTACTTAGGGGCTGGAGAGACGGCTCAGCAGTTAAGAGCATAGGCTGCTCACAACTGTCTATAACTCTGGTTCCAGAGGATCCAATGCCTTTTTGTGTTCTCTGTGGACACTGTATGCATGTGCTACAGACATACACACAGGCAAAAACATCCATACAAAAAACAAAAATCTACAGAAAAACAAACCAAAAAAACTTTCATTCATTTTGGTGTGTGTGTGTGTGTGTGTGTGCGCGCGCGCGCCTGTGTGATTTATACATGGCATGTAAGCTGAATCTCCTGATCCTTGCTTCCAGATCTTAATCATGGTGAAGGCCTTTTGGTCCCCAGTATTTGTCAAACTCACTGGAAAACATGTTAATGTGTGAATCTGAATGACTAGATGACTGGGATGGATGGGTGAGACCAGAGGCAAGAAGCAGCTTGGGCCTCAGGGATGACACACAGCAGAGCCAGCTCTTTGGTTCTGGCAATGCCAGTGGTTAGACCAGTCACTCTATCATCGCCCGTGAGTTCAAGATTTTCTCTAATGGCTGTGTTGGCTCACACCAGGGCTGCACTTTGTCTACAGCCAGACTGTTCAGCTGGTGGCTTCCCTAGTAAGCACACCACAGAGGCTGGGAACCCCTAAAATCCATACCACCTAAGCCCGGCCTCAGGGCTTCTTAGAGGACAACCAGGTGCCAGAGCTCCCCAGGGACTTTCCAAAGCCTTAAGGCAGAGAACCTGCAGCTGGTCCCCTAGGGCCAGGAGCCTCCTGTAGCATTAGGAATATACAAGACAGTCATAGCCCAGCTGAGCACCCGAAATCCCAGTGCTCCAACCAAGCTAAGGGCCAGGCCTCCTGGCAGAATGCAGTCTAATAAATCCACATAGTGGAAGGAGAACTGATTTAAGCTGCATTCTCAGCTCCACATGTGTGTGACGGAGTATGTACACAGCTTCACCCTATAATCATAAAACAAGGTCAGAGAAGATGGCTCATGTGTTAAGAGTGTGTGTTGCTCTTGAAGAAGACCTGGATGCTACATCCTCCAACTTGAAATCTCAATCCTAATTACAGCAGAGTCAAAGCCACCCAACATCAGACTTTCCACGCAAAAACCAAAACAACAGTCAGGAGAACAGGAAGGGACAAAGCCCAGGAGATGGCGAGCCATTGTTAACACAGTACAGACTACAGCAGAATCATCCTAAGGGGACTCAAAGTCCTTCCCCAGTGTTTCTTTCCACCGTAAGATGAGCAGGTTTTGTCACTGGCTCTGGCCATGGTATTGACCGCAGGCCAAGTGTCTAGAGCCATGCCAAGCCTCCAGCTTCATAGGTTAATTTGCTGGGGATTTCATGGAGGAACAGAGCAGAATGTTCCACTGAGCTGACAAGGGCTTCACTTCACTCACCCACAGGCTGAGGTAACAGAGCAACTGCCACACAGGAGGGGTCACCTTCCACCTCAGTTCCTACATGGTATGAGCTGGCCAGAGTTACCACAGCTTTCCCCATAAACAAGGCCATTTCCAGGTAGCCTTAGGGAATTGTCATTGGAACCTACAGCATTGTGCTATGTCTTACACTGGCCAGACAACCAAGATGACACATTGAGTACAAACGTAAGAGCATGTTCAGACCCTGGCATGTGGGCTGAAGGAGTGAGTAGGATGGTGAGTTTACCCTAGCCTACACAGCAAACTCTAGCATGGACTGGGATACGACACTCAACTAGATCTTAACAAGCCAGGGCCAGGATCGAGACACCCCAAGCTATCAAAGCCACTGTGGGACAAGTGCTTGAGCAACAGATATTGCATAGTATGTCAGAAGAGGGGAGCTCAGAGTGGACAGTGAGGAGAGCCAGATAGATGACAGGTGGCATCAGGCCACCCACTTTCTCTGGCACGCCAAGCCTTTCTGTCCCTAAGGCTGCGATGGCAGCCACAGTTTAGCTTCGAGGGTAACATCACAGCCTTCTGGAGGCAAATAAAGAGCTCAGGCTTGAACCCAAACGGAATCAGTTGGGGGTCCCAGATCCCAGCTCACGACAGGCTCAGAGCAGGGCGGGGAGATGCTCTGCCAGTACAGTGTTGCCCCACAAGGTAGCAACCACATAAAAGCTCGAGTTTAACACAGTGGGGAACCCTGACACTGGAATGGGAGCACACAGTACTCCTGCTTGCCCGCCAACCAATCCAGACAATCAGTAGCTTCTAAGAGATGATCTCAAAAAACAGGGTAAAAAGGGGCAAACTCACAATTAAAAATAAAATATATCTTTGAAAATTTGGTGAAGATCAACAGAGGACATCAACAGCTGACTTACATACATACACACACACACACACACACACTCACTCAATCACTCTCTCTCTCTCTCTCTCTCAACACAGGCAGAGCAGAGCAGAGCTGAGGCAGCATTCACCTTGGGAGCCTGTGGAGTCTTCGGCTTCTGGAAGAACCTGGTGATCTCTGCCTTCTCTGCCTTAATGCGCTGTGGTGGGAGAGGAGAGGACAGGCACTTACCCAAGGGAACTCTGGGAAGGCAATATTGTCCTTGTAGGTTCTCAAAACCTCAACCCATGAGGGATCCGCCCAGCAAGGAAGCAGTGCTACCGCTGATGAGATCTGAGTGAATGTGCAGTTCTTGTGGGGCCCTGCTGCCCAACACTGGGACACAGAAAGCACCCTATTACTGCAGTGGCCAAGGCGGGCAGGGTGGACAGCCAGGCTACCTTCTCTTCTTCTCGTAACCGCTTCTCCTCCTCTTTTTTCCTCTTCTCCTCCAGTTTAGCCCTGGAAGAAGAGAGCTACTGAGTCTGGGGAGCTAGGGCCCCACCACCCACCCCTCTTTAAAAAGGCTCCAGCACTTAGACTAACAAAACAAAATGCACAACCACAAAATTTTTTTTCTTTGCTTCTGAGACACAGTCTTGCTAGGCAAACCCAGGCTGCCTCAGCCTGAGTACTGATGTTACAGGTATCTCAAGTCTCCAAATAAAATTATTTTGAGAGAGGATCTCACTATGTGGACCAAGCTGATCTGCAACTCACAGAATCCCTTAGCCTGAGTGTGGATTAAAGCTATGCACCACAAGCTGCAGTCCATCCCTGACACATCAAAACCCAGATGTGGTGGTACCTGGCTACCATCCCAGCACTTAGGTGGAGGTGGGAGAATCAAAAGTCCAAGGTCATTCTCAGCAACATGTCATACTTGCTCAAAACTCATTTGTCATTTATTAGTCTCAACCACCTACTTGCAAGGCACAAAGAATGTTTTTTTTTTGAGGCCAGGCATGGTGACATACAACTTTAATTCCAGCAGAGGCATCTCCGAGTTCAAGGCCAGCCTGGTCTACAGAGTGAGTTACATGACAGCCAGGACTACACAGAGAAACCTTGTTTGTTTAAAAAAAAAAAAAAAAAAAACCAAACCAAACCAAAAACAACAAAACAAACAAACAAACAAACAAACAACAAACAATACTATCTGGATAGAAATGAGAATGTCTCACAATCAGACACAGAACTCCTATGAACTTTCAGAGTCAAAAACTCACAGGACACAGTGGCCATCCACTAGGGCACTGGCCGAGTTAGGAAACTGAGGAGGAACTCCTAATGTGACCAGAGCATCTAAAACCTAAAAACCCCAGCAGCGCAGGAACCATCAGCTAGCCAAAGCCCACACCCCAAAGAAACACAGGCCAGAAACAAACTAGCCATGTCCGGTCAGGCTCCAGAGAGCGAGAGACAGAAGACCCAGCAGGGAATCCTGCTGGGCAGAGCATCCACAGGGCCTGGCTACTCACTCTAAAGCCTCCTGCCTCTCCTTGCGTCGTTCCTCCTTGAGCCTCTGCTTCTCCGCCTTCTCCTTCTCGTCCTTCTCCCGCTTCTCCCTGCGCTCCTTCTCCTTCAGCTCCTTCTCTTCCTCCTTCTTCCTCCGTGCCTCCTCCTTGGCTCGTCGAGTCTCCTCCCTCAGCTTTTCTTTCTCTTCCCTCTGCTGTTCTCTATCCTGTGAAGACAGTGGCTAATGTGCCCTGCAGGTGACCCATGGCGTAAACTGCCAAGCACACGGAGCTCAGGGTTCAGCCCAGCAAATGAGATAAATGGCAGGACAGCAGTGGCTGCCAGGTGACAGCGCTCCATAGAGCCCAGGCTGGCTCAGATACATACATACACGGAAGCATGTTGATTTCTTTTGAGGTGGGAGACTGGGCTAAGGTACAGAAGCCTGGCAGGCAAGTGTTAGTAAACAGTCCTAGGTCAGACTCACTGCCCAATGGATGTCCTGGGACTGAGCTCTAGCCCAGCAGGTCTCTGACACGTGGAGCCTGGGGATGTGGGGCAGCTGCTGCAGCAGGCTCACATGAGGTCACAGTGCTAGGGCCTCCAGCATGTTTTGCAACTGTGTCCTGAGGCCCAGCTCTCAAGTGCTGTTTTCTGGCCAGGAGAGGCTGTCTGGATTGAGCAGAAGGCACAGGCCCGACTGCACTGCAGGGACCTATTTGTCCCTGGTTGTTACTAAGGAGACAGAAGCCCTGGAAACATAGCTGGCCACTGTACTTACATATGTACTGCTCACATGGGCTGAGCTGCCCCTAATAGTGCAGGCATGCCATCCAATCACAGGGGAGACTGGAGCCGGCCTGGACTACACAGATCCGACAGACAGAAAGGACTAGGTCCTTCTGCACCACAGAGGACAAGCATGTTCAGCATGCAAACAGCCTGCCTTTCCCATACCAACCCTCTAACACTGAATGCCTAAGGAGCCCCAACTGGCATGGCAACCTTCCTAACTGCAATGGAGTCCAGTGGGCAAAGCAGGGACTAGACTTTTCTACATTAAGAAATAAGAATCCTAGACAGGTGTGGTGATGCACACCTGTAATCCCAGCACTCAGGAGGCAGAGGCAGGAGGATCTCTGTGAGTTCAAGCAAGCCTGGTCTACAAAGCAAGTCCAGGATAGCCAAGGCTACACAAAGAAACCCTGTCTAAAAAAACAAAACAAAACAAACAAAAACCCAAGAGGTGGTGGGGAGACAGGGTTTTACTATGTAACCCTGGCTGAACTTGAACTCAAGGCCCCTTTGAAGGAAGCTTTCCCAGCACCCACATTGTGCTAAGAGAGACCCAGGCAGGGCTCGTGCACTAGGGACACCCCAGTATGTCACTACTGTTAGATAGTGCAGTGGCAGCACAAGTACCAGAACCCAGAGGAGTACAGAGGCTTGGAGAATTAGGAAAGGGGCCTTACTCTGTGTAGTTTGCTCCTGCCCTTCTCTGTGGAGCCTTTGACAAGCTTCTTGGCAACCTGAAAGGAATAACAGAAGAGCTTAAGTCACATTTCCAAGGGACTCCATCCCACCCTGCACAAAGGGCAGCAGGACAAGGAACCTGCAGGGCACATTTTGAGTGCAAGCTGTAAGCCCCATGAGACCCTGGCGATTTAGCAGTTGACTATCCTGAAGCACAAGGACATCACTAAGCCCTAACACAGAAAAAAAGCCATATGATAAACATTTTAAAACCCAGCACTGGGGACCGGAGACAGGAGAATCACTGGGGCTCCCTGGCTAGCAGTCCACCTCAGCTAGCTGGTTAAGGCCCAAGTGGTGGCCATGCCTTTAGTTCAGCACTGGGGAGGCAGAGGCAGGCATAATCTATTGTATAGCAAGATCCAGGCCAGCCAGAGACACAAGTCAGTTACTGTGCCCTGACCCCAAAAAAGGATGGACAATGCCTGAAGACCAATAATCAAGGTTGTCTTCCAGTCTCCACTCTCACAGGAACCAACCCACAAAGGTTGTTTGTCAAAAAGAAGATAAATTTCAAGGTAGAGCCTCTGCCTAGAATCCCACAGTGACGTGCTGGGGGCACAGTCAGGGGTAGACTCCCTAACTAGGATCCTCTAGTTAGGGGCAAGGGATGAGACTCAGGGGTGGAGCCCAACCAGAATTTCCCCTTCTATGTTAAGACAAAGCAGAAAACAAAACGCAAACATTGTTGCAAAACAAGGAACTCTGCAGTCTTTTCCAGCAATAGCACCAGAGGTTACAAAAGGGGCAGAGTGCAAAGGCCTTACTCAGGTAAGTTGGGCACAGATAAGGATGCCTGTGAGCAGAGAGAAGACAGCAGGTGGGAAGTGCTGGGCCTGCAGGGTGAAGAGAGCAGTGGACAGCGCTGAGCCAGCAGCCAGTTCCTATCAATCCTACCATACTGTGTTCACACGCTGGGCCCTTGGATCCAGTCAGCTGAACCCTGGGCCTGTACCTGCCAGGTATGACATCACCACCACAACTTTTGTCTGCTGTCTTCTTTTTAGAATATGGCAGGTCACCTGGGGCTGGGCCCATGAACCAGGCCTGTAGTCCCTGCCCTTCTGCAGGACTGCAACTTAGTGGAGACTATCTAAAATACCAATTAGGGGATGGTACATAGTATAACAGTTCATAGTACACAGCTTCATAGCATAGTGCTAGCCTCACATGTGAAAAGGTCTGGGTTCTACACAGTAAGCAGGGTAGAAATAACTCCGCAAGTTTCTCTTACACCTGAAAAAGAGCTCAGTGGTGGACAGAACTCAGGCAGCTGATTCTTAACTGAGAAGAACAAGACAGGCAACAGGACAAAGCATCAGCTACAGGGACACGGGAAGGACCCTATGTTGGCAGACCCATAGATAAATGGCCCTGGGCTGTCTTCACTGAGTGTATGATGACCACATCACCATATGCCAACAGTCTCAACAGAGGCTTTTCAGACCTCTGTGAGTTTAAGGCCAGCCAGGGCTACAGAGATCCTGTCAAGAGACAGGCAGGCTGGCCTGCTACTTCTACCCAGGGCATTCACCCACTCACAGCACCCAAGGTAATGGGGCAGGGTTCTCTGTGGCAGGTGAGGGAGGGCATACTAGAAGGATGACTGCTCTGAGAGGGTGCAGCTGAAGGTAAACATCGCCAGCAGATGGAAGGGCAAAGGATCACTGGGGCTAGTTCTTCATGGGGGACTGACTACAGATATGAGTTCTCTTAACTCCCTGCAGACACTCCAGTAAGTGTGGTACCTGGGACAGGAAGAGGACAGCAGTCCATGGGAAGGCACAGAATGTGCAGGAGCTATAGCCTTCCTAGGCTTCTCCAGTAGGAGCCAGGACACCAGGAGACCAAGACATATTCAAAGTTCTGTGACAGCTGTGGGACCTCTCACATGCAGACAGACAGGCAAGAGTACAGGTGACTGCCACTCTAGTCCGGGCTACATACACAGCCAAAAACATTTTTAATCATAGATAGAAAAATGCACACACAGACACACACACACACACACACACACACAGTGGGGACATCACAGTACACTGAGGCACTGGAACTATAAAGGCAATGTTACTGTGGATTGTTGTTTCTAGACAGGATCTCATGTAGTCCCCGCTGGCAGGTGAGTTTCTGTGGTGCTGGGGATGAAACCCACCAGGGCTTCTTACACTGGGCAAGCCCAGCCCTGAAGCATCTGTGTGAGGCAGGATCACCTGTGATTCCCATGCTGGGCTTCAGTCCTGGATTCAAAAAGATTTGCCTGCCTCAGTTCATGGCACTAGCCTGGCTCGTTGCAGAGTTTCCTGCTCATAAGTAGAGGGGGCCAGAGCAACCCAGGTGCCTGCCCACAAAGCTCCAAAGTATCTAAATTAGCACAAGGTGTGCTCTCTTATGAACAAACACAATTCGCACTACTGTCTTCTCCTCATCAGAATGACAAGGAAAGCTGTCTGAACATGTTCACAAAAGATGTAAGTTTTCTTCTGGAATTTTCCCTGTCTGTGGTGCTTTGAGCCAAGGTCTTTCTATGTTGCCCAGGCCTGGCCTTGAACTCAATCCTCCTGCCTCAGTTTCCCAAAGGCTAGGATGAAAGGTGCATCAATAGCTTCGGAGTGATTTTGATACAGGCTTCGCTGAATATAATGTAAGTGTGAGGAATTTGTATGGTGCAGGACTGAAGCTATCCCAGCAGCCAGGGCTCACATGGCACAAAGGCAAAGACCCAGGAATGTGGCTGCCCCGGCACTATCCTAACTGGAATGACAGACTGTGTTACCAGACAGGAGGCTGAGTGACAGGTCTCACAGCACACAAACCTGTCATGTCAAGAAACTCTATGCTAAGAACCCTTCCCTCATCCAGAAGATACCAGGAGATGAAGGGAGGTTAGGGTCATGTAACAGATCCTATCTCAAAACACCATAAAATAAATAAAACAGGGCCAAGGAGATAGTTCAGCAGGTCAAAGTGCTTATAATCAAGCCTAACACGAGTTTAATCTCCCCAACACTGTTCTCTGATTTCTGTACACATTGTGGCTGGTATGCACACTGACAGGCATACACAACACTTTTAAAAAATTTAAATGTTATATGGAAAAAGGTTACCAGGCCTCTTGAGAAGAATGGTAAAGGCCACAGCAGATGGCTGAGGTGTTCCCACCCACCTGGGGCCTTTAACTTCTGCTCTTTAGCTCTACACTGTGATCTAGCTGCACCCCGGGCTAGGATACCAGAAGGAAATGGAATCAGCTTAGCTGTTCATCAGCTGCTGAATGGATCATGAAAATGAAATTCATCAGCACAATGGAATATTATTCAGCTGCTAAGAAAAATGAAATCATGATGCTGGGCAGCGATGGCTCACAGCTTTCATCCCAACACTCAGAAGCAGGCAGAGTTGAGTTCCAAGACACACCCAGGGAAGACAAAGAAAAGAAAAAAAAAACAAAAAACTTTTTTTTTTTTTTGGTAGGAAAATAGAAGCAACTTGAAAAATTATCCCAGCTGAGGAAACCCAGACCCAAAGAGAAGACTGCCACCATGGTCTCCCATGTGTGGCTGGCACACCGAATCCTTGTATGTGTGGGGCTCCATCCACAGAAGGCAAGAAAGTCTTAGGGGCAGATCAAGGGAAGGGATGAAGTATCAAGAGGAGGGTCAAATGAGGTCGGGACAGGATATCTGGGCAGAGAAGTATGGGGCAAGATAAGTAACACTAACGGCTTTTGACAAGGTCACACACAAACTTATGACTAGAGAAGCTTCTTAGCACACAAAAGCACGTATGGGATTTAAATGGAGCTGTCCTAACTGGCGGTACTAAGTTCCCCTCAGTTTCCTCTTTTAAAACATGTTTGTTACCATGTATGTGTGTGGTGCTGGGAGCTGCACTTGGGTCCTCTGAGAGAGCAAGCAAGTACTCTCCAGGTCGGAGTCATCTCTCCAGCACCCTGGTTCTTATCTTTATACCCAGAGTAGTCAGTCAGCTCTCAACCCAGAGAGGCTTCTTTCTTGAGATATTGCCGGAGAGAGCCCTACAACCTCTGCACACAAGAAAGACAATGGTACACTTGGCCCTCCATGGGACAGTTATGTCACCTCCTGTCAGACATCTTAGGAAAGGGGGTTAGAAAGGTCATGAGAGCCACATCTGTGGAGTTCTGCAGTGAAATGCTTTCCTGACACGACAGAACTGTCACACATATGAACTCAGAACAGCTGTGACTGCATGTGTAGCACCTACACAGATCAAGCCACATGACATTCCAGCACAAATGGGGAGCAGTCATGAATCTCTACCTGCAGCTGAGCATCTCCTGAGGAAGGATGGCTGCTGGGAGAGGGAGGACCGCCTTCTACAGGAATGTGGTCTGATAGGCCACTCATGCCTTGTAAATGGTCCCAGTTGTGCACGTATAGGAGCACTAAGTAGACTCAGATTTAAAAACAAGAGCAGGCAAGCCTTCATCATCCGGAAACCCACAAGCCTAGTCCCAGACCCCCAGATGCCAAGGCTCTTCGTGCAAACCTCCTTTCCTTGGTTTACATAACCACCTTCCCTCAAAGATGCTAACCCTTATTAGAGCAAGCACAACTGGACACAACAAAAATATTTCAGATCATGGGGAGTCCAGCAGCAGGGGATACACCTACAGCACAGCTCCTATATCTATGCCTCAAGGAACATGGTAGAAGGGTGGGTGGGACCCAGGCATGGTGGCTCACGCCTGCAATCCTAGCACTCGGGAGGCAGAGGCAGGTGGATTGCTTTGAGTTCAAGGCCAGCCTAGTCTACAAAGTGAGTCTGAAACAGCCATGGCTACACAGAGAAACCCTGCCTTAAAAAAGAGTGGGTAGAAAGACTGTAAGAGCTAGAAGATCAAGAAGTCTGCTGAGAGGGGCACAGGAAGAGAAGAGGAAGGGAGGATGGGACCGGAAGGAGATGAGGGAGGGGGCTACAGCTGGGATACAAAGAGAATAAATTGTAATAAATAAAAAAGAAGTCTGTTGAGGCTGTGTCTCCTAGAAGCAGCTGCATGAGTGAACAAGATGTGAACAACAAACACGCTCCCATGGAAGGGTGAATTTTCATGGGGTCCTAACCTAGAGAAGGAAGATTGGCAAATAATGACTGCTGGGATTAGGAGAATCTGGCTCTCAGGGATGAGTCCCCTTGCTGTTGCCCCATGCAGAGTGCTCAGCCCTGAGACCATCCAAAACAACAAAAACCAGATGTATTCAGACTTATCTTTGTGCACACGTACATGTATACAAAAACAAAGAAACTATCAACTTGACAGTAAGTATAGGACATTGGAGACTCGAAGGAGAAGTGATGCAATCCTATTTCAATTACAAACTTTTTATTTTTTGGTTTTTAAGACAGGGTTTCTGTGTAGCCCTGGCTGTACTGGAAATTGTTGTGTAGTCCAGGCTGGCCTCAGACTCAGAGATCTGCCTGTTCTTGCCTCCCAAGTACTGGGATTAAAGGTGTGTGCCACCACCTCCTGTCTTAAAAGGTATTTTTAAAAATCAAGAGTGCAGAGCTGGAGAGATGGCCCAGAGGTTAAGAGCACTGTCTGCTCTGCCAGAGATCCTAAGTTCAATTCCCAGAAACTAGATGGCTCACAGCCATCTAGTGAGATCTGATGCCCCCTTCTGGTGTACATGCAGATAGAACATTGCATATATAATAATTAAAAACAAAACAAAACAAAAAAAACAAGAGTTCATAAAGTTGAGGGGAAAGATGGAGCAAGTCATTGAAAAGAATTTGGGGGCCAGGGAATTGGGAAGGGGTAGATTTGATCCAAATGCATCACAAGCATGTATGAACTTAAAACAAAACAAAACAAAACCAACAGCAGCACTCGGGAGGCAGAGGCAGGTGTACCTTTGTGAGTTTGAGGCCAGCCTGTCTACATAGCAAGTTCCAGGACAGCCAGGGCTATGTAGAGACCCTGCTTCAATAAATAAATGAACGAATGAAATGAATGAAGACTAGAACCATCCTGCAAGGCGGGAAAATGGTTGCCACCTGATCAGATGGGAAGAGAATGGCTGGAAAAGCTATAGGTCCACAGGCCTTAGGGACTAAGTATGGCTTATAAAGATTTCCAGGGCAGGAGCCAGGCCTAGCTGTATAGACTGCCACTTGGCACTCAGGGGGAATGCCCTGGCTTGTGGCCAGCCTGGTCTACACAGAAAGACCCCTTGCCCCCTTGCCAAAAACAAAAATTACCCAGACAGATCTTGACCCAACTGGATGGAGAGGCCCCAAGTTCTAGATTCACTGGGGTCAGGACTCAAGTCAAACTTCATGATGTGGATTAATGACTCAGCTGGGGATAGGAAAAGAATACTGGACATGGCCAACACCCTGATGCACCACAGGAAAAAGAGGTCTGAAAGTGGAGATGAAGCTGGATGCAGGTAGTGGGATATACAGACAGGATGGCCATTGAGGCTGGAGGTAGGCAGGGCAGAAGCTCTAAATTCAGTTGTCAGGTCAGCAGGCCACCACGTTCCCTCAAGATGTCCGTGCTCTCAGTAAGTGAAGTAATCCCATACATCAAGTCTCAAACCCAGCAAGGCCAGCAATACAGTTAGACTTCAAAGAACAGCTATGCCAGGGTCCACACCAAATAAAGACCTACTGTGAACAAATAAAAGTGCCACACAACCAGAATATTTTGGGGTTCTGAATCAACTGTTTTTAAGGCTTCTTTCTTGTCCAACCATACATTCCACACTGGCCTCACTCACGAGGCCTTCCTGCCTTATCCTCAAACACTGGGATCACAGGCATGTCTGGCCTAGATGAATTTTATAAAGTTTTACCTATGAGATCCTAAGGCCAGCTGAGAAGTGACACACTCGCCATTGTGCAAATTTGATGCCAACAAAAGTGAGACATCAATGACATATTTGAAATCCCAAGTCCTCCCCAGTACAGGACTCCCAAAGCACCAAGGTATGACCATGAGTGCAAAACCCCACACCTGACCTCAATTGCCTGACAGGTTGCCACCAATATCCCAAGAAAGGGTTGAAATTCACTTCAGGTCCTGGGGGGCGGGGGAGATTGTGCATAAACAGATGCATGTCGGAGGCCCACAGTAGCCGGGCCTGGTAGCTCACACCTTTAATCCCAGAAAGGGCAGAGGCAGATCTCTGAGTTTGAGCTCAGCCTAGTCTACAGAGGAAGTCCAGTACAGCCAGGGCTACACAGAGAAACCCCGTCTCAAAAAACGAGGTCAACACAATGAAAATGAGTTACTGGATTTAGGGGACCTCCTTCTAAGGTCAAAACCACACATAACATCACAAACATTCTGAAACCCACAACCAATGCTCCTGAGCATTTGGGACACAAGGTGCTGAGGTGTAATAAGGTTCCAGCTCCTGTGGGGTCCTTCATGCTGTGGGGCCAGGCTCATGTTACCCGTATCTTCAAAGCTGAGCTTTCCAATGCCTGCCATTATTATCCTGCCTTTACTCACGTACTTGTTTACTCATTTCTGGTGCCGGAGGTGAGAGCTGACTCAACAGGCAGGTGCTCCCCACTTCGGCACACCCTAATCCTCAGGACAAAATTTAAAGATGAGTGGTCCGCTGCCACAGCCAGCTGGCTGCCCAGCCTGCCCAAGGGTTGGGGTATGGAGTGTGTGTACCTTTCCAAATGCAGCCTAGACTGACTACCAGAACCCAGCAGAACTCACAGCCCTCTCTAATCAACCTGGCCATCCTGAGGTCACTAATCACACATCAATCAAGTATGGAAGAGTAACTCACAGCCATGTCCAAAACCTGAGGACAGAGGATGGTTTTCCTTGGTTTTGTAAGTCTTCCTATATGGTCCAGGCTGGCCTAGAATGCAAGATCCTCCTGCCTCAGCCTCCCCAAAACTGTGATTATGTAATAGTCTGATTGGCTTGAGACAGGGCCTCATGTAGCCTAGGCTGGCCTCAAATTCACTATGCAGATGAGGATGACCCTGACCTCTGGATCCTCGTGTCTCTACCTCCCAGTGCTGAGAAAACAGGTTTGGTTTCTGAAGTACCTGAGATGGAGCCTAGTGCTACAAGCTAGGGCTCTCCCCAGCGTGAGGGCCTGCCCCTAGGTCACTAACCACATGATAACCTGGTGGGAAGGAAAAGTGTCCAGGCCCCATCAATACCCTGGGATTGTGAAGGGTTAGTACTCACTGTGCATATGGGTGTGGAAGGGGGGCTGTTCCCACTGCTCTGTGCTCGGGGTGCAGATAGTCCCTCAGGAGAGCTGGTTAGAGAAGGGGAGCTGAGGGAGGAATGGCTCAGTGTGGAGTCATCCTCAGGGCTGGACTCCAATACTTCACTCTCTGAATTGACACTCCTATCCAGGGACATCATGGGAAGAGAGGCATGTAAGGGTTTAGTGGCCAGGATGTCCTCCAGCACCACCATGGGCACTTTCTCTATAAACAGGAGACCCCCTGCCTTGCTCCAGCCTGACAGCTCCTTTGTGGTGTAGGTCCTGGAACCTGGGGTCAGCTCAGGGCAGCTCTGTAGCAAACCAGCCTGACAGTCATCCGTCCTCTTTGGGCCTCCTGGGCTCCCAGGTTCCTCTTCCACATGAAAAGGAATGTCTGAAGGGGTCTCTTGGAGACCCAGTTCTGCTCCAGAGGGGCCCTGCTGCTTGGAGGTTTCTTCCACTGTGGTGGCCACACTGACAGTGTCAGGACTTAGTTCGCTGGGGCACTCAGGGCTGTCTGGAATGTCACTGGAGTTCTCGGTCAGGTCAATGATGACCACACTCGGTACCGGCTTGATTGTTGCCCTCAAGAAGCTATCAATGGAGCCCTGGCCACTGACCAGCTTTGGACTCAAGCCTACATGAGAACCTGCGTGACAGCGGTTTTCCAAAGTGTCCAAAGACAATTGTAGATCCGGGACTTTGCCTTCCACAGCTGCCTTGGGCGATGTGTTCTCCACTTTCTCCTTGGGGCCAAGATTCAGGCGCTTAAAGGGCAGGCGGGCTAAAACAAAGAGAAGTAACACCTTCAGTGACAGCAGGAGACCATGCTCAGCACCTGAGCACCTGGACATTACTGGTCTTATTATAGTCTGGGATGAAAATTTCAAGCCTAATACTGGAGATGCTGGGGGCAGAAGATATGGCTCGGCAGTTAAGAGCAATGGCTGCTCTTGCAGAAAACTTTTGAGTTCAACTCCCAGTACCTACACGGCAGCTCCTAACCACCTGTTTTTCCAGCTTCAGGGAACTTGACACCTACTTCTAACCTTCAAGGACACCAGACATGCATATGATATACCTACATGCAGGTAAAACATCCACACTCATAAAATTAAAAAAAAAGAAGAGAGGGGATGGGATGCTGGAGGCTAGGAATCAAACTCAGGTAGTGAGGCTTGGCGGCAGGCACCTTCACCTCACCTCAAGAACCCATTCCATGCATTTAAATGCCAAAGTGCCATTGGTTAATTCTTTGAAAGTCAAAAACCAAATCAACTTTTCCCCACATGCAGTCAGATCATGAAACAAGGCTGCCCTGAGTTTTCAAGCTCTGATTCTTCCCGCCCAGGACACTTCCCACACAAGGTAGCCTGGCTGTAGAGTCCCAAAGGAGGAGGAAACTGCTTGAGGTCAACTAGATGCACAGCTGAGCTCTGTAATGGTAGCCCCGTCTGTTGGCAAAACGTTTTATGTGGACTGTGTATAGTTTACTCTTCTTCATTCAAATGCTATTTCAATAACTGGTTTCAATCTGGACGTTGCATTGCGATGTATCTCCTGTCTCAAGTTGGTGTAAATAAGCTCACCATTTGTTCTCTGTATGCCTGTAAAAAGCCAATCACCCAATGCTGAGCAATGCAAAGAAAAGGGTGCAACATTTGGGTCCAGCAAGGGGAGGAGAGAGAGGAAATGAGATGGAGCCATGAGGAAGAGTGGGAAACATCAGGAGAAATGAACCAGACCTGGCATATGATTAAAGAGCAAGTATAATGTGGAAAATCTGAATGGGAAGAAGCTATACTAGCTTGAAGGTTTGGGATGCAGTCATTATTGCTCAGTATTTACTCTAGGTTAATTAAATAATCCTAGTCTCTCTGTGTGGTTATTTGCGTAAATGACTGGTTAAGAGAGTAACCACTGATTTACTAATCATTTAAGTCAATATTAAACATTAATCATTCTACACTGATCCTCGACACAATCCCACTGACACTGGGGCCAAGAGTAAGGGCATGGTTGCTGAATGTAGGAAAATAAGAGATAGCCACCCACTGTGCAGCAACACTCTCCACTTAGGCAGCAGCCCTGCCTCTAACCGTCAGGCAATGTCTATCTGGTTGACTCAACTTGGAGGCAGCTACTGGCACAAGAGGCCAGGGTGTCACAGACACAACAGTTACCACTAAAGGGTTGACAAAATGGTTCATGAACAGAGGGAACCAGGCCATTTGCCATCCGTGATGCAAGGACTCATACAGGAGAAGGAGAAGGGACTTGCACAAGCTGTCTTCTGAGCATCACATTCATACGGCAGAATACATGACCAACATGTGTACACACACAAACGAATCAGCGCTTGACCTATCTGCGCACAAACCAGGTAAGCTGGAAACCTGCCCCAAGGCGTAGCTCTCCCTTCCTAGTCCCTCTGCAGGGCATGTGATACCAATCCCAGGGGCTAGAAAACGGCTTCTTGCGGAGGTATTCACCTGTGAGTCCAGATGAAGCAGAAAGATGTGAAGGTCCAGGATGGACTTTGTAGCTGGTAGATAAAGAGTGAGACCTGTCTCAAAAATCAAAATAGGCAGCTGGAAAGGGGGCTCAAAGGTTAAGAGCACTTAGTGCTCTTGTGAAGGACCCAAGTTGGGTTCCCAGCACATCTGGTTGCTCACAGCTGCCTATAAATCCTGTTCCAAGAAATGATGCCCATGGCCTCCATGGGCATTGCAAGCAAGCGGTGCACATAACTACCCACAGATACACACATACTTAAAAAATTAACAGGTACTTTAAAAAGTGTATTTAATAGGGGCTGGTAACAGCTCACTGGTCAAGAGCACTTGCTGTTCTTACAGAAGACCCAAGTTGAGTTCCCAGCAGCCACTTGGTGGCCTAACAAGGATCTTCTATCTGCAAAGGGCACTGCATGCATATGGCACGTCAATAAACAAATCATTAAAAGAAATTTAAAACTGGCCAGGTGGTGATGCATGCTTTCTAATCCCAGCACTGAGGAGACAGAGGCAGGTGGATCTCTGTGAGTTTGAGGCCAGCCTGATCTACAGAGTTCTAGGACAGCAAGGGCTACATATTGAGGCTGTATCTGGGAAAACCAAACAACAACGACAACAAAACTCTACCCCCATTAAAACTGGAAGCTGGGCATGGTGGCACACACCTTTAATTCCAGTAGTCTGGAAACGGAGGCAGGTGGATCTCTGTGAGTTTGAGGCCAGCTAAGACTATATACATGTCCCATAGTAAATAAACATGTAACGAATTTTCTCTTAAAATATGCACACACTAGTTATTCAAAAATAAAAATAAGCAGATGGAAACAACACAATTGCTCATATACACAAAGCATCATGGAACATAATTTCAAACTCACAGTAAGGCCCATATACGTTATATATTATATACATATGTATGTAGATAACATATATGTAGGATCACCAGACATACACATGTTCCAAAATAAGAAAAGTCTGGGATGGGTACAGCTCAGTAGTGCAGAGCCTGGAGGTCCTATGAGGCCTTGGGCTGGGTTCCCAGCACCAAAGTGAAAGAGATAAGATATAAGAAACACCCAAAACCTCCAACCTGAAGAAAGCAACTGCTGCTCTCCCTTCAGCCCCCACAGGCCACTGAGGACCCTACAGAAGCCAATGGAAACAGGTTACCCGCCTTGAGTTACCTTGTATCAACCGCTTCACTGGGAATCCAGGTCTGTCTTTGCAATCCATAGCTGTAGATAAAGAAAGAGCAGAAGTTACTAATTGTGAGGATCACAGGCCAGCTAAAGTCCATAGAAGTCACATCCAAACAGATTCCACTGAGGGCCCTGTGGCCCTGCCTAGTCCATTCCAGATGTCTCTGCTTGAGACAGGGTCTCACTACATAGCACAGGCTGAGCTAAAAAACAAACAAACAAACAAACAAACAAACAAACAAACAAATAGCCTTATGTCAATCCTCTTGAACCTGCCTCCCAAGTGGTAAATTCCCATGCACAAAGTACCACAGCATGCGTTTATAGATTAAAAAAACAAAGCAAAACAAACAAACAACCAATTACTTCTTAGGTTTTATTTTTGGTTTTGTTTTTTGTTGTTGTTTTGATACAGGGTCTCAGTATGTAGTCATGGATGCCCTGGAACTTACAAAGGTCTGCCTGGCCCTGCCTCTCATATGTTGGTAATGAAAGCAAGCACCATCACAACCAGCTACAATTTATCTTTTTTTAAAAAATAATTTTTTAAATTTTATTTTATGTGCATTAGTGCGAAGGTGTCAGATCCCTTGATTTGGAGTTACAGACAGTTGTGAGCTGCCATGTGGGTGCTGGGTGTTGAATCTCAGTCCTTTGGAAGAGCAAACAATGCTCTTAACCACTGAGCATTGTCTCTCCAGCCCCCAATTTATCTTTTTTATTTATGTGTATGCATGTGTGTTTGTGTGTATGAGTGTCTACAGAGGCCAGAGGCATCAGGTCTGCTATAGGCAGCTGTAAGGCATTAGATGTGGGTGCTGGGATGGGAATTCTGGTCCTCTGTAAAAGAGTAGTGAGGGTAGGTGGTGGTGGCACACACCTTTATTTCCAGCCCTCAGGAAGCACAGGCAGGTGGAGCTCTGGGAGTTTGAGGCCAGCCTGGTCTACAGGGCTAAGCTCCATGACAGCCAGGGCTACACAGAGAAACCTTGTCTTAAAACAAACAAAAACCAAACAACAAAATCAAAACAAGAGTGCTGAGTACTCTTAACTGCTGAGCATCTGTCCTCCAAAGCTGTTTCTACATTATATACTTGCTGTGTGCGCATCCGCTGGTGCACACAGCCACATGCTGCAGCATAGCACAACTTGCAAGAGTCAGGTCTCTAGATACACATGTTGCTTCCAGTGACGCAGCCAAGCTGTCAGGCTTAGCAGCAAGCACACTGACCCTTAAGTCCTATCACAAGTCCCCAGAGACAGTTTTCATGCCTGGAGAAAGACGTTGGGAGTGCTGCTCACTTCTAGTTAATACACAGGTGTTCAGTTTAAACAGGGTACAATGAACAACCTGGCCCCAGAACAAACGTCAGAATGTCAACACTGAGCAATTCTACCCTAGGCTCATCCCCTCCTTTGAGTTTTCTGAGGGCCTCACTCAACTTGTATTGTTTATGGTCCTACTAGATGACATGGTGACCATTCTATACCCAGAATGCCCTCCTCAGCACTGGAATATACTGGAAACCAATGCACAATGAGCAAAACTCAGGGCAATGAAGAAAAACAAACAGGAAGGGCCATGAATGTGGTGATGCCCACCATCCCAGGACTAAGGAGGTAAAAGCAGGAGTATTGTTTCAACTTTGAAGCCACTCTGGACTACACAGACTTCTAGGTCAGTTAAGGCTAAACTGCCCAAATCTGTCTCAGAATACAAGTGAGGGCGCAAGATGGTTCAGTGGGTAGGGAGGGTTCCTTTCCAAGCCTGACAACCTGAGCCCAATCTACCGGACCTACACAGGGGAAGAAGGAAGCTAATTTCCACAAACTGTGCTGTGACACACACACACACTCTCTCTTTCTCCCCCTCTCTTTCTCTCTGAGTGTGACTGGACAGATGGATCTGCCATTAAAAGCACTTGCTGTTCTGGTCCCAGCACCTGCATCTAACAACTCACAACCACCAGAAGTACAGCTCCAGGAGATCCAATGCCCTCTCTGGCCTCCATGGACACCAGGCTCATGTGCAGACATATACAAACACATAAAACATATCTTCAAGTAAACACTTTAAAACTTTCTAAGCAAAGGCACCAGTCTTAAACAAACAAATATGTAAACACATGAAATGAACATATTTCTCATGGCAGAAACTACAGTCATGTCAAGACACAATAAGAAACTTGGGTTTGGGCTCAGTGGGTAGAACACTGACCTAACATGAAGGCCGTTCTAAGTTCCATCCCCAACCATGTATAAATCAGGGCACTGTGACACTTGGCGATAGAGGCCAGCCTGGGCTACATAGGACCCTGCTCTAGAACCAGCAACTACAAAAGATAAACAAATAAAAGACCCCATGAGAGAATATTTCCTACTAAAATAAATTCAAGACTTCAGAAGTATATAAGCACATCAAAATCCACACACATAGGACCACAAGTAGAACCTGTCTTTTTGTTTTGAGACAGTGGCTCTCTATTTAATCCTGACTGTCCTGGAATTTTATATGTAGACCAGGCATGGCCTAAAATTCAGAGATCCACTTGTCTTCTCTTCCAGAGTACTAGGATTAAAGACGGTTGCCCAGGTTAGAACCTGTTGTTAGGTAAATGCCTTTAAACAGTTAGCTTGAACATAAACAACTACTAGGCAATGTGTCCTAGGTGGACAAAAACTCTTTCAGTAATTTGGGAAAATTCCCATACATTTTGCTAATGTTCCAAGGAATTCAGACTTGGGCTTTTCTGCACCCGGCGGTCGAGAATAAACAGCTGGCTCACCCCCGCTTAGATACTAAGACCCCTGCCCAGAACATTCATGCTCCTTTCTTCCCATCTGAATGTAAGAAAGGTAACATCACCCTCTTTTCTATTATCAAAAAAATATGTTTTTCTGAAGGACATTTTTTCTTTAAAAATCTTTACTACATTTCATTAACTTGGGGGGGGGGGCTTATGGAATTAATTTTCTTCTACCTACGATAGAATTCAGGTGGTGAGAGGCCAGATCAACCTGCAACTCATCATCCTCCTGCCTCAACTCCTAGGATGCTAGAACTGCAGGTATAAACAGCCACACCGGAATTTGTCTTTGCTGCCAGAGCAACAGTGTTGGTTTTAAACATTGCACCTTGGTTAAATAAAAACAATCATGATAGTCCTGGTAGTTTTACAAACATTAATCATGTCTGCATAAAATTCCCAAGCCAGTCAGAGCAACAGTTCCAGCCTTCCTGGGGCAGCAGGCTGACCCAGGAGGCATGAAGGGACTGGCAGTACCCCAAAATGGATGGAGACTGAGGATGCTGCTCTCCATCCCTGAGACGGCCTCACCCCCACCCCTTAAACCCAAGCTTGAAGACTAATATAATGTACCCAGAATGGCTTTCTCAAGTGTCAGTGGTGCTCAAGTGACAAAAACTTAGTCTACCAGGACTCCCTTCCTGTCCCTCCGTCATTCAACCCATATAGATGGGATTCGGTGCCAACTGCTGGGGGTGCAATACAGAGTCAAGCAGGGAAGCCTGTTGCTTGTTACAAAGACTCCTAACACGTACGGGACAGGCCCATACCACACTCACAAAAGACCCCTTCCAGGATGCAGAAAGGCTTCCTGGCCATGCTCACCACCAAACCCTCCATTCTGCGGCTACTCTAGTGTCCAGAGCTCAAGTGACCACAGGCCTCAGTTTCCCCACCCACTGCTAAGGTCCGACTAGCTCGGGAATTCACAAATTCATTTACTAACTTTGCACAGCTGCCCCTCGCCCTCCTGGTCTAAGTTTCCACACCTGCTACAACATCCATTTGATTTCAGAGAACACAAATGCATTCAGAACCCATCAAAGCCGACCCGGGGCCTCAGTTTTCCCCTCTGCTACCAGGTACTAGTTAATCAGGCGACACAGATGACTTCAAGGGGTTGCAAAACTGACTCTTCCCCCTCCCTGGGGCCTCAGTCTCCTCTCTGGGAAGTCTCGCTTCTCCGGGTCTCAGGCCCGGGGCATCCGGGCACCGACCGGCTGGTTCAGGCTGAGGCCCGGCCGCAGCTTCACCCACCCGCGGCTCTCGGCGTCGCGGCCTCCGGCTCCTCCAGCATCGCGGCAGCGGCTCAGGCTTCAGGCAGACCGCCCCGCTACGCTCTCCGCCTCCCGCCGGTGCCGCTTCTGCGGCCGCCCCGCTCGTATTTGGCGGGAACCGCGGCATCCACCGCGGCCCGCGCGCCGATTGGAAAAGAGCACGTCACGTGACGGCCCTGCCTCAGGAAAAGAGGAGCGCTTGGCACGTCCTCGCGAGAACTGCGGCTTCTGGGCTTGAACATCCCGCGGGAGGAGGAGTGGGGAGGGCTCCTTTCCGGCGGTTCTCCGGTGGCTGAGAAGAGACGCATTCTATTGGCCGTAAGAAATGTCAATCTAAGAATCTAAACTTGGGGGCTGGAGAGATGGCTCAGAGGTTAAGAACGCTGGCTGTTCTTCCAAAGGTTCTGAGTTCAATTCCCAGCAACCACATGGTGGCTTATAACCATCTACAATGAGAGATGGTGCTCTCTTCTGGTTCTCAAGCACACATGCAGGCAGAATACTGTATAAATACTAAATAAAATAAATAAATAAAAATTTATTACAAAAAAAAAGAAATGTCAATCTAAGAATCTAAGCTTGGGGACTGGAGAGATGGCTCAGAGGTTAAGCGCACCAGCTGCTCCTCCAGAGGTTCTGAGTTCAATTCCCAGCAACCACATGGTGGCTCACAACCATCTGCCATCTGCCCTCTCCTAGTGTGCAGCTGGACATGTAGACAGAACATTGTATACATAATTTTAAAAAAATGTAAAAAAAAAAAAGAATCTAAGCTTGTTTCCCAGGCCCCTCCCGTCCCACGTTATTGGCTATATGCGTGTAAGGAGGCGAAGGACTACGTCATAATTGGCGCCAGTGACAATTTGAAATTAGGGATTAGAGGAGGAATCGATTCCTCCTAATTAGTGATTGGTTGAAAGTAGCCACTGCAATTAAAATTCGGGATTACTTCTTTTTGTAACTATACTTTCTTTTTTGAAATAATGAACCACTTTTTTTTTTTTTTTTTTAATTACTATTTGAAGCCGGGCGCGGCGGTGCATGCTTTTAATCCCAGCACTCAGGGAGTCAGAGGCAGGCGGTTCTCTTTGAGTTCAAGGCTAGCCTCATCTACAAATCGGGTCCAAGAAGCCAAACCTACACAGAGAAATCCTGTCTCAAAACAAAACAAAATTACGATTTGCTCTATTTTTAAATTAGCTTTTTGTTTGTTTTTGTTTTGTTTTGTTTTGTTTTTTGAGACAGGGTTTCTCTATGTAGCCTTAGCTGTCCTGGACCTGTTTTGTAGACCAGGCTAGCCTTGAACTCAAAGAGAGCTGCCTACCTCTGCCTCCCTGGGTGTTGGGATTAAAGGCATGCACCACCGCACCCAGTTTAGGAAGTATTTTCTACTGTAAAATTATAAATCAGGTTTTTTTTTTAATCGTGAATTCCTTTTTAGTTTGAATTACTTTGAAGAAAGATTAATTGAAAAAAGTGCTTATTAATCGATGGTGCATGCATTCATCCTAGTGCTTAGAAGGCACAAACAGGTGTTCAAGAACAGCCTGGTTTACATAGCAAGTTCCAGGACAGCCAGTGATACTGTGTATCAAAAAGATATTAATTGCCTTTGGGTGTTTGTTTGATTTTGAGACAGGGTCTCACTATGTAGCCTTGCTGCCCTGGAACCCACCAACCAGTTTCTAAAGCTTTTCATCTGTTAGGTGGAGGAAGAAACCTTTCCCACCGCCTGCACACAGCTCAAGTGCCCGCAACTGTTCTCTTCTTGAAGTTGTGGCTAGTAAGTGGGTTATTTGGCTAATGAATTAATTGTATGAATTGCTTTTCAGTCATGAGCTCAATGAAGGTAAGGATTGCTTTAGTGTCAAGGATCTCATTAAATCTTTGACTTTCTGCAGAGTTTGGTTGAATTTGTGGATCTTGTGGAGCCAATCCTGCTGTCTAACACCTGTCAGCCCTGCATTTGGAAGGTGAAGGCAGAAAGACTGGGAATTACAGGCCATGGTAGGCTGAGCAGCAAGTTTGAAGACAGCCTTGGCCATCTCAAAATTTATAAAATAAAGAACACTCTGGATTCTGTGGGTCACTGACATGCTAGCAATCCCTAGCTGCAGGCACCAGTTACACACACACACACACACACACACACACACACACACACAGGCCTATGATTGCAGCACCAGGGAGGTGAGGCCACCTTGTGCTACATGCAACCCAGTCTTAAATCATAAAAACAACTGAACAAACAAAAACTACTCATAATACAAACTATTCATGAAGGCACCTGTAATCAGGAACAATAAGGATGGCACATGCATGTTCTTTGATCTACTGCACTGCAATCTTTTGAGTCATTTGGAACCTTGCAGAAATCCTTGGTTCTGAAATCACCCAAACGTGTCAGCAGTTTCAACACCAGATTCTTAAAATTCTTTCACCCCAACCATTTTCCCGTTTCTGCTTTAGAACCCATTTACTCATCACTTCCATTTATTATTAATCTCCAACTCATGCCAGACTGGTCTGTAACTGGTTATATGTAGCCCAAGCTGACACTGAACTCAGAGATCCACCTGCTCTGCTTCTCCAGTGTTGGGATTAAAGGTGTGCACTGCCACACTGGTAGAGTCTATATACTTTTTGAAAGCTGTAACAGTTGCTGTAATGACTAAGATACATGTATCAATCTGAAGAGACTTCATCAAGGAGATGGCATTCCAACTGGAGTGTTTATGTCTAAAGGATGAGAGAAAGCTCCCTGGGAGGCTAATGTGGGATAAAGGAATGAGATCCTACAACTGGCACCCAATGGGACCGAGCCAGCAGAACTGGAGGAGATAGCTGCAGTCTGAACTACATCCTCAGAGGATGTTTCTGGTGGGGCTTATTGGTGCACACCTGTGATTTAGCACTTGGGAGGTAGAGGGGGGTTGGATCAGGAGTTCGAGGTCATCCTTAGCTACACAGAATGTTTGAGGCCAGCCCGGGTTATGAAATAAAACAATGAGGAAGGAAAACAAGGACTCTGTATCCTAAGGGATGAATTAGAAACGAGACACTGAAGGAAGGACCCCAGAGAGAAGGCTGGTGGAGTGCAAAGCTTGGGATAGTGTAGATTTAGGACCTGCACCACTGAAGGCGATTGGTTTGCAGCTGTAAGAGCCAAGAGATGCCTGGAGAAACAAGCTGGAGCTTCAACTATTCCCTGACCTCCGTGATGCTTTCACCTGTCAGTTTGATGGGATCTGAAATGAGGCTGCGCAGGGGGCCTCTGGGTGTGCCTGGGGCAGACATGGCCCCTGTGGATACCCCATTCCTCTGACTGGGATTCTCTGCAAGTGGAGGAAGGGGCTGAGCATCAAGCAGCGCCTCCCCACCCCTGAAATGTTTCCTAACTGAGCTGCCTCATGCTCCTGCCCCTATGACTTGCCAGCCTTGGAGTTTTGTTTGCTATTGACCAAGCACTTTTGTTTTGTTTTAGTCAAAGGAAGAGAAATAGTGAAGACACCTTCTAAGTTGAAGACACAGTATGTTGAGGTTTTTGGGTTTTTTTTCTTTTAATGTACTTTGTCTGCACGTACATCTGCACAGCAGAAGACCACATCAGACAGTTGTGAGCCTTCCTGTGGGTTCAGGGAATTGAACTCAGGATCTTCGGAAGAGCAGTGAGTGTTCTTAAAGACTGAGCCATAAGTTGAGATTTTATGTTACTTTATCTTTAAAAATGAATTCATATTCATTCTTGTTTTTCAAGTCAAGGTTTCTCTGTGTAGCCCTGGCTGTTCTGGAACTTGCTTTGCAGACCAGGCTGGCATGGAACTCGGAGATACCTCCTGCTCTGCCTCCCCAGCGCTGAGATTAAAGGCATGCACCACCACTGCCAGGCATCATTATTAACTTTTAAGTTATGGATATACGCGTTACCCTGTGGTCTTGAGGACAGTTGAAGGAGGCCGGGAGAGGGCAGATCTGGAGCTGGAGTTACAGGAACTCCCGAATTTGGCCAGGGCAGCAAGCGCTCTTGACTAGAGAACCATCCATCCCTCTAGCTCCTAAGAGATTTTGTTTTATCTTAGTCTTATATTCTTTTTCATTTTATTTTCTATTTCATTTATTATGAGTTCCAGCGGCCCAGGATTGCCGTGAACTCTGTCAGGAATCTTTACTTAGGGACCCAAGAGATGTCTCAGTGAGTGAGGCAAACTTACTGTCAAGCCTGGATACGTGAGTTCGATCCCTGTGGCTTACATGGTGACAGGCGATACCCGACTACCGCAGTGGTCCTCTGACCTCTTGTGTTCCCTGGCACACAAACGCCGCTCCCCTTTCTCCGCGCGCACACAGTTAACTGATTAATTAAAACTGACTTTGACTTTATATCCGCTCCTCGACTCTAGAAGGAGCTGCAGCGCCCCCTCTGGCTCTCTAGGCGACCCCTCATCTCGTTGGTGTGGGCGGGTTTCCGCCTATCCTCCCGTTGCAACGCGCACTCTGGCCTGTAGGGGGCGCGCACGCGCAGAGGGACCCGGTGCGCGCGGATGCTGTTGGTGGGGGCGGGGTAAGGCGAGGTGGGGGCGTCACCGGAAGTATGTGGTTGCCATGTAATATCCCGGCCGCGCGTGCGCGCTAGCGGGCCGTGGAGTCTCTAGGGCTGGCGCGCGGAGTTGACGAGCTGATTTGGCGGAGGCGGCGCCGACTCGCGCGCGGACGGAGGCGGTCGGTTCGTCGGCGCCGGCGGAAACCTGAATCCGGGCGGGAGGCCTGACGGCGAGAGGCGGCATGTCGGTGGCGGGGCTGAAGAAGCAGTTCTACAAGGCGAGCCAGGTGAGGGGCGACCGGGCGATCCGGGCTCGGGCCTGGCTTGGGGGGGACAGCGGACGAGCCGAGCTGGCTTCCTCTGGGGTGGCGGAGAAGGGAAACCGGATCCCCGGGCTGAGCAGGGCCACTGGTTGTGCGCGGGTAGGCGGTTCTCAAAAAGCTCTGGAGCGCCGGCGAGAGGGCTTCGCCGCGAGGGGATTGCTGCCAAGCTTCATGACCTGAGTTCGATCCCTGGGACCCCAGGATGGAAGGCGAGCCGCTAGGTCTCC